CCCGTCGGCGGGAAATCCCAGCCCTGGTATGGAGCCTCTTGTAGAACAGCATCTCGTCTGAAACAGGAGTGCTTCCTAACCTGGGCTAAAGGTGTGGCGTCGCGAGATCCTAACACCAGTGCTCTTAAAAAGAAGTATAACTCTGCCTCTAGGTCTTTCAAAAGAGTTATAGCCACAGCGAAGTCAGAGCATATTAGTAGAATTGGCAAGAGATTGGCTAGTTTGCCCTCTGGAACTCGAGCTTTCTGGTCTCTTGCCAAAGCTGCACAAGGGAATTTCTGTAAGTCATCTTTTCCACCATTGCGCAGGGAGGATGACTCGTTGGCCCAGAACGCTAAGGAAAAGGCCGATCTTCTTGGATCCATCTTTGCGTTAAACTCGACATTGGATGACGGGGAGAAATCACCACCGACCATCACGTGTTGTAGGAGCTCTATGCCTGACATTAAATTCACGCATAGCTCAGTGCGTAGAGCACTTTTCTCCCTCGAAATCCATAAGTCGAGTGGGCCCGATGGTATTCCTCCAATTGTGCTTAGGACGTGCGCTCCAGAGTTGGCTCCGGTTCTTACGCGTCTTTTTCGGCTTAGCTACTCATCGGGCATAGTCCCAAAGTTTTGGAAGACTGCTCTGGTGCATCCGATCCCTAAAAAGGGAGATCGCTCAGATCCAGCTAACTATAGGCCCATAGCTATCACTTCCTTATTCTCGAAGGTTATGGAATCCATCATTAACCGTCAACTGCTCCGGTACCTAGAAGAACACCAGCTGATCTGTGATCGCCAGTACGGCTTTCGGCAGGGACGTTCGGCCGGTGATCTTTTAGCTTACTTAACACACCGATGGGCAGTGGCTATCGAGAGTAAGGGAGAGGCCTTAGCAGTTAGTCTGGATATCGCGAAGGCCTTTGATCGGGTGTGGCATAGAGCGCTGCTTTCAAAGCTACCTTCATTTGGGTTGCCTGCGAGACTGTGCATTTGGGTCGCCAGTTTTCTCAAGGAACGTAGCATTAAGGTCGTAGTCGACGGAGCATGCTCTGATTTAAAACCTTTGAATGCTGGTGTCCCGCAAGGCTGTGTACTATCTCCGACTCTGTTTCTTCTGCATATCAATGATATGTTACAGATAAGTAATATTCATTGCTATGCAGACGACAGTACAGGAGATACATTATATACCGGTCATGCAAGGATCTCGCGGGCACATACCGATGAGTGCCGGAATAGACTTGTGTCTGAAATCGAAACTTCACTCCATCAAGTTTCGATCTGGGGTGAACAAAATCTTGTCCAATTTAACCCCAAAAAGACACAAGTCTGCGCGTTTACCGCAAAAAAGACGCCGTTTGTCGTATCTCCTCACTTTCAGGGCACTTCCCTTGATAAAAAGTCGAGTCTAGGAATTCTGGGCGTTGATATATCTTGCGACGTCCAGTTTTGCGGTCATCTGGAGGAGAAGGCTAAGATAGCTTCCAAGAAGTTAGGAGTGCTCAATAGGGTGAGACGATATTTCATGCCAGAACACCGCCTGAAATTATATAAAGCCCAAGTCAGGCCGCATATGGAATACTGTTCTCACCTGTGGGCAGGAGCGCCACAGTACCAACTCCTTCCGTTAGACCGCATTCAAAGTCGGGCGGCTCGAATTATCGATAGTCAACGCCTTACTGTCCGACTTGATCCACTGAAGCTGCGCAGAGATGTTGCATCTCTGTGCATCTTCTACCGAATTTATCATGGGGAGTGTTCTGAGGAATTGTTCGGATTGATACCTGCTGCTGATTTTCACCACCGTACAACCCGCCACAAACTAAAGTTTCATCCCAATCATCTGGACGAGTGGCGGTCTTCCACCGTGCGTTTTTCAAGGCACTTTCTTCCACGCACAACCATTCTTTGGAATCAACTTCCAGCAGCAGTATTTCCGAACCGATACGACAACATAACCTTCAAGAAAAGAGTATATTCCTTTTTAAAAGGCCGGCAGCACACCTGCAATGCCGCTGGTGTTGTGGGTGATCATGGGCGGCGGTAGTCACTTACCATCAGGTGAGCCGCATGCTCGATTGCCCCCTGTGTTGTAAAAAAAAAAAAAAAAAAAAAAATATATATATATATATATATATATATATATATATTACTTTCTGTTTTTACATTGTTGGTTAGATAATAATTTTATCAAAATTGTAATAAATTTTTCTTCTGACAACATTTTAAAATACTCGACATTAATTTTACGTCAACATATTTCACTTTGTAGTAGTCAAATTAAAAATGGCAAAATGTTGTTTATATTCTACGCTTTGTAGTCTCATGCAGATGATAGCTGATATTTTAATAGTATTTACTGTATCATAACTGTGTTGTGTTATATTTTTTGTGTTGAAATTAATCAAAATAAACATAATTAATATTTATTTTCTTACTCGTATCGCCTTTGCCCCGTGCAAGTAAATTAGTTTAAAAAAAGTTAATACGTACATATAATTAAGTAGGTAATACAAATTAGATCAAAATACAGCTCATTTTACTTTCTTATAATGTATGTTTCAATAAGTGAAAGTTTTTAAAAACATATACACATATATATATTATATTACAATAATAATTATATTATATTGTATGTATATGTATGTATATATATGTATGTATATATATGTATGTATATAATTATTTATAATTTATGTAAATATTTAATTTCTGTCTTGCACTACTACTGCCCACTCACTAGGTTGACTGGAAGAAATCTCTTTTAGAGATAAGTTCGCCTTTGCTAACATTGTTATTAACTTATTTTTGTTACTGTATGTTTTAGTGTAATAAAGAATATATATAATATTTTTAAGTTTATCTATTACAAACAGAAAATTAAATCGTTTTTCTTTATAATATTACTTTATATTCTTTTATATTTTTTATATTATGAAAATAACAAAATATGTATACAAAACAAGCATTTTCTGCCACTTGCTACATAGAAGTAAAAGGTAATGCATGGAAGGAAATGAATTAAATCAAAATAACTGGTTTGCTCCTACTGAAGTCGGATTTTTAACAAAATCTTAATTATGCTGAATTCATATGTTACGTCCTTTTATTGTTTTCCATAACTAAAATGTATTAAATGTAATTGTAAATTATTCATAGTCCATATTGGTTCCATTTCGTGAATATTAAAGTAGATTTTTTTTTATTTTGAAACCGCGTAGAGGTCGATCTGATAGAGTGTATTGTTAGCAATGGGCTGTTGAAACCTATTACTAACAGTCCCTTTTTCTCCAAACTAATATGTGTTAGGTACCACCAAGGAGATGATTTCCTAACCAGTAGTTGTTTACTATGTTTGTTTTGAATTTGCTTTGTAATACAGTATTCTGTTTACTTAGACAACAAAATTAGATACTTGAAGATAGACTTGTAGCTTATATAAATATTGTTAGTTTACCGTTGCTTTTATTATAATTACGATAAATACATGGTATAATCGCAGAATATAGAATATCTATATCTAATATATATATATATCGGAATCCGAAACGAGGATATCCGCAAAAGAACCAAAATAACCGACATAGACCGGAGCATGAGCAAGTTGAAGTGGCAATGAGCTGGTCACATAGCTCAAAGAACCAACAACTGATAGGGAAGAAAGGTTCTTAAATGGCTACCGAGTACGAGCAAACGCAGTGTAGAACGACCCCCTCCCACTAGATGGAGTGACGACCTAAAATGCATTACTTCATGACAGTCTATGGGGGAGACTTATGTCCAGCATTGGACGGATAATGGCTGAAATGATAATTATAATGCATTTATTTATATTACACTTACTATATTTTCTATTTTTATTGTTTGGAATAGGCTTTAATAGATCTATTGCTAGCAATGCCAATATATATGATAATTGTTGTTGACTTTGTTACGTTGAGCAAACTGACCTGGTTTCATCCTCATCTATCATCCCTCCTACCCCACCAGCGTATACCGATAACGCATGCAAAGTTACCTTTCCATTTACATCCCATTAACAACAACTCAGTACTTTGAAAGAGAATGGATTGTTAGTAATGTAAACCAAGATGCTGGCTTGTTATTTTTTTCCCCATTTATACGTGCTATAAACAGATATTAAAACCACTTTATACCTCAATAAAATAAGCTCTCATTTTGATATTTCAAGCATCCCTTTAGAATTTTTCCTAATATTTTTTTCGTAATAAACAATAATAATAATAATTTCCAAATAAATTGAGGGGGTAATATCTAAAAGATTTCATCAGATCAAGTAAAACATCAGTCATTGTATGTGTGTTTTTATACTATGTAATGTGGCAAACAACCATACAACCCGACCGATGGTAAGCGGTTATTGTAGCCCATGGGCACCCGCAATACTAGAGACGTACTACGTGTGCGTCGCCGACCTTGAAAAAATCTTAATATTTAAAAACCCTATACTTTTTTTTATGGGTAAAAATGGTATGGTAACCCCGTCTGTGCTAACGGGATACGCTGGCGGAGCACTATTGAAGAGTAATAGATGAGAATGAAAACAGGCCAGTTAGTCCATCATGATGAATTCATCAGGAATTAACTATGATAGTTTCCAGCGAGAACCGCGAGGAGATCGACCTGGTTGGGTATATTGCTAGCAATGGGATTCTCAATCTCCATTACGAACAATCCCTTTTTCCCCAAAACCCTATACTGTACAGCATAATATAGACAGACCAACGAACAAATAAAAACACCCATCCTTTAAGCCAATTTGTTACGGAAACTAAAGTAAAGATTAAAAATAATAGATATAAACTATAAACAAGAATAAAAGCTACAAAATCAAAGTAATAAAAATAATTATATTAATTTCTAATTGCCAAAATTAATTTTGACTTTATAGCCATTTCGTGCAAACGAAATAGCATTAAGTACTGAAAGAAACATCGAAATGAGTTTTGTAACTTAATTTCACTTAATGAATTGTAATGGACCATTATGTCATAAACCTTGATAACTTTAGTCACGTTAATGTATTAATTAACCGGAACGTGTACAACGTAAAAGCATTTTTGGTAATTGATTTTGTATTTACAATTTTATTGTGAAGAGATTCAACAATAGCTTGTTACATTGACAATGCAGATTCTGTTCTCTTGTATGTTAATTACAATACATGTAATGATAGGTAATGTTTTATTTATTTATTTATTTTCTTAAACTTATGTTATTTTTTTAGGCATGAGTAATATAGATGCAGATTCGATATCTTTATATTGAGTACCTCTGAACACTGACGACTAAAAAAAGGTATCACCCATTTTGGTATCACCAATATCGGTCTGACATCTATTTTCGAATATATTCAAAGTCTTTTTATGCAATTTAGAATGGCAAACAAGCTGACGGCCCACCTGATGGAAAGTGGTAACTGTCGCTTATAGACATGAACAGTATCATAGACATAATAGAAAATACTGTTTCGCCCGTGATACCCCCCATGTTTTGTCATTCTTGAGGACTCAGATGTTATTCCTCTATACCCTGTAAATTCACTGCCATATCCCATCCTTCAAACCGAAACAGAGTCAACGCATGGGGGGTATCATGGGCGAAACAGTATACTCTGTTATGTCTATGGTACTGCTTATGTCTATAGGCGACGGTTACCACTTTCCATCAGGTGATTCATCAGCTTGTTTGCCATTCTAAGTTGTATAAAAAAAAAAAACATAATTACGTATAAACAAATACAAAAAAATAAACATAATTTCATTTTGACACATTATATAGCTTATTAATTATTAGAACATGATTTGTATATTTTATTAATATTAAAAATATTAATTTTGTAGATATATATCAAATCGTAACTAGCAAAATTAGCAAATATCTAATTGTAAGTTAAAAATGTTTACTTTATGTTTCAGTAATTGTTTTCAACCTTGTGTCACCTTACGAAATAATAACTAAATATTCTGAGGGCTCGCAAAAAAAAAGAGAAAGTTTTGAAGATTTCTTCAATTCATTATCCAAAGATGGTTTAATAGCCCTGGACAAAATACCGATAGTGAAGGATTGCTCGACGTGTCCGAGAGTTTATTTCCCTGTGTGCGGAGATGATAACAAAACTTATACAAACGAATGCCGTTTGAACTGCGCCAATAGTAATAAGACACAAGTAACGAAAAAAGTACGAATGGGACCATGTTTTATTTTTCCTCAATAAATGTATCATCGTTGCATCATAGACACATTTAATAAACAAAGTTCTAAGGGAATTATGTTATGTTTTTATCAATAAATGTATCATCGTTAGAACTTCGACAAAAATAGAGAAAAAGTATAATTGAGGTCGTGTTATCTTTTCCTTGATAAATGTTATGTCTTATCCTCGATGCATCATCGACACATTTAATCAAAACAATTTTATCTGAATATCCTGTACTTATAGATTGGTCCTATAAAAATGTCATCAAAATAGGTTCAGCAATTTAGTTTTTAAATCAAAATAATTGGTTTTGCTTTTGCTTTGCAACTTAGTATGGCAAATAAGCTGACGGCCCACCTAATGGATAGTGGTAGCGGTCGCCTATAAATATGAGCAGTACCATGGACATAACAGAGTATATTGTTTCGTCCATGATACCCCCATGCGTTGCTATTCCTGAGGACCAGGTGTTATTCCTCTATACCCTGTAAATTCACTGCTATATCCCAAAAATTACATGCTAATTCTAAAGTCTTTTTTTTTAATAGAACACAATCTTAATCTCTAATTAAATTCATTATTAACACAGCTAATGAAGAAAAAAAGAAAAGAAAAAAAAAACGAAAGGCACATAACAAGTTCAATCAAATTTTAATTCGACTAATACGAATTGAAAATTTTTCTTTCCAATTCAGTGTAAGCGGACATACTACACACAACAGCCTACAACATGCCCCGAAATGTCTGACAAAAAAACAAAAGTGAAGGTAACATAAAAGAATCGAGATATAAACAACATAACAACAAATCTTCCTAAACAGTCGGTCGCCGTTTCGACTAAACGGGTCAAATAAATGGGGCATTCCTCGCTATCAGCTATCTTCCGTTTTCCCCATATAAAGTGAAACTATTGTACATTGGTAGTTGGTACTGGATATTAATATATCTGGCTTATACTATACCATATCAGCTGATAATTGTCCAATGCTGAACATAGGCCTCCCTCTATTGGGGGGTTTCGCCAGTAGTTGCCATGCTTGGCAGGCGGGTTAGCAACCGCAGTTAGGCCTTGGAGATGTTTTAAGAGGGGCACAGTTGCTCATTTTTGACCATTAAATTCCCTTAGTTATTTCTTACGACACCCACGGGAAAGGAAGGGGTGGCCTATTCTATGCCGGGACCACCGGCGATATCTGGCTTGTGTTCACGTAATAGATATTTATTTTTAGAAATTAGACTGGAATGATAATCTCCACGCTGTTGATATACGCTGATGATGTACCAGTAAAATGATAGATGAAGATTAAATTAGGTTAGCCCTTCATGACGAATGAATCAAGATAGTTTCCAGGTCTATGCGTAGAATTACTCAGTGGGCTATATAACTAACAATATTTTTAAAAAAATATATATTATAAATAATGAACACACAAACAAATACAAACAGACATTTTCAAAAATATTTATACCTTTGTACTGTGCTGAAATATAACCCCCAACTATTTAGAAATGAGACATTATGGTTTTTTGTACTAATATTATAAAGAGGAAAGATTGGATTGTTTGTTTTTTTGTTTGTAATGGAAAAACTCAAAACCTATTTAATCCATTTTAAAAATTCTGTTACCTACATTATCAGCAAGTAATAAATTATATATTATTTAAAAAAATTAGAGATCCCTACAATATTTATACTCAAAAATAAAGTACCAATTTTAAAAATTCTTTCACCTATCGAGAACTACTTTATCAGCCATTAAAATGGGTTTTTTAATGGTTTTTTTACTTTCAAAAAAATCCGTGCAAAACTGGGCTGCTCACTAGTCTTTTTAAAAAATTGTGTCAAAAATATATTTTATTTCTTACAATCAAATCTGTACCTTATTTTATTACGTGACTCTTATAAATAACATCAAACGCTAATTTCCCATGGTCACACTATAAGTACCACAGAAATATCCCGTCTCATGAAATTGGATTTCGTCCCATCGACTGGAACAGCGGATATTTCACGACTCCAATACATTATGTCGTAGTATGGACTTGTGATCTTCGTTACACATGTTCTATATTGAAACCCCAGACTGGTTTTATTTTTTTATTATAACGTGTAAATGGATGTTATGTCTTCACAATATGAATTGTTTATGTTTCGAATTGGAAAAGAATAATTCGTACTATTAGTCTGTTTCAATCATAGACTTGATAAGTCTATGATTGAAATGGACTTAGTATAACGTACTTAGTTACTAAAATAATTCTACCGAACTTAATGAAAATGTAAATAAGGTAATGAAGGTAATCATAACCAACCATAATAATAATAATAATAATAATAAAGTTTATTCTCTTCACAATACCAGTTGTACATCTATTATATTCTAATACATTTATTTTTGGAGGTTACATAATTTAATGTATTGTGAAGAACTGGTGTCTGAAGTAGGATAAACCTGTGTTACAGATCACCAGGTCCTCACCCCACGGTGTTGGCACTATATTACAATTTGTTCTGGTTATGAATATAATAACAACATTAATACATATACACATACATACACACATACACACACACATACATATACATATATATATATATATATATATATACATACATACACATATACATACATATATACACACACACACACATACATACACATATATACACCTATATAGTTAAGGTTATACAACCGATATATCCTACACACACTTACACAATATACATTATTTTAATAATATTTTCATAAGTTGTAATTTAATACGCAACCTTCAGTAATTTCTCCGTGTCATCGTACGTCAGACTCAATAACCATGTTTTAAGTGCAGTTTTACAATTGAAGTGTGAATATGAATATATGTTCAAAATACGGTTTATATTATTATAAAGATGGCTGCCGAGGAAACAGAAAAATCTTTGTGAAAGTATTGTTCTAAAGCGATGTTTTTTGTATATAATGTCTTTACGTCTTTTTGAGGTATCAAGATCGGTGGGTAATATTTGATGTTGTTTTAAAGTTATGTATAAAACAAATAGTTTTCTAACTGAAAGAATTTCACAATCTCGGTACAATTCATGTGTCGGGTAGTAGATGGAGTGAAATGTGCATACCTTGAGAAGCGCACGCTGTGCTCTTTCCAGGGTGATAAGGTGTGATTTACATGCTCCGCCCCATGATGTAATGCAGTAAGTGAGAATTGACTGACACAGAGCGAAATAAACCGTTTTTAGTAATTTAAAATTCGATACATGTCTTAATTGTTTAAATACGTAAATCAACTTTCGGGTTCTACTAGTAAGCAATTTAATATGTTCGCGGAATTTGAGATTGCAGTCAAGTAATATGCCTAAATATTTAATTGTGTTTACTCTTTTTAACTCGGGACAAGAACAGGGTTTTTGATCTGAAATTCTACAGCAGTGGGCAAACAGACGAAAAGCATTAGAGGGTGGAGTGTTGCGTATATAGAAAGGAATCATTATGGTTTTATTAGCATTTAATGTAAGTGAATTATTAGAAAGCCAATTTAACACTGTGTCAAATCCCGACTGAGCCAATTTAAAAGTATCTTCCCAAGTATCACCCCAGAAGATGACCGCAGTATCGTCTGCAAAGAGGGTCATTGCTCCATTTTGTATATCGAGGTGACCAAGTTCGTTAATGTAGATCAAAAACAAGGTGGGAGAAAGAACACTACCTTGAGGAGTTCCATATTCCAGGACTAGCTCATCACTAAGATGGGAACCGAGTTGAACACATTGAGTCCGATTGCTCAGGAAATCTCTGAATAGATCTAATTGAAGGCCTCTAATGCCTATATTTTCCAGTTTCTGAATAAGAATGGGTATGGAGACCGTATCGAACGCCCTAGCGAGGTCTAAGAAGAGACCTAGACACTTTTTGCCTTCGTCTAGATGTTTCACGATGGTATCAGTCAGATTTGAGACAGCGTCAGATGTAGATCGGGCTGGTCTGAAGCCAAACTGTTTATCTGATAATATCTCCTGCTTATCTAAAAACTTACGGAGACGATTGTTAATAAGTCGTTCTAATACTTTGGAAAGTGCCGGCAAAACAGAAATTGGTCTATAGTTACAGAAGAGGTCATTTTCTCCACCCTTATGAATAGGGTGGACTATAGCCTTTTTGAAAACCAGTGGAAAGACCCCTTTTGAGAGACATAAATTAAATAAATATGTTAAAGGTCGGATTAATATTTTGGAGTATTGTTTAAGAAATCCACTCGATATACCATCCCAGCCTACCGCGCAATCATCTCGTAACGACAGTATTAGTCGTTCAATCTCTGATTCGTCCGCACTCTCCAGTACAAATGAATTGATTGGTGAGTGTAGGTTATTATTTAATGACAATGGTAAGAGGGTTTGATTATGCGGAATACTATCTGCAAGGCGACGGCCTACACCAACGAAATAATTATTCATTTTATTCAGTGTTTTGTGTGGCGATTCTGATAAGGAGAGTAAATTTTGTGCACAATTTTTAGATTTTTGTAGATGTGTTATTTTTTTGACAGCGGTCCAAATTTTCTTACTATCAGTTCCAGCTTTTTCAATTTCACCTTTTTCATATTCTTTTTTTATTTTTTTCAATAAAGAATTACAGAAATTACGGTACCTACGATAAGTTGTATCATAAACGACGTTATTAGGAAATTTTTTAACTTTTTTGAATAGTTTATCCCTGTTTCTAATGCAACGTAAGAGCCCTGGTGTAATCCAGGGTTTTGTTACGCGTTTACGTTTTGGTATATATTTGATAATAGTATTTGACTGTATTACATTTCTCAGAGAGTTTACAAAAAATATGGCAGCTTCATTTGGTTCATCAGTCTCAAAAATTGGTTGAAAATCAATAGTAAATATATCTTCCCTAAGCTTAGCGTCATTAATTTTGTTATAATAACTTGGAGCTAATTTGTTTTTAATGTTTGATGAGAGACAAAACATAATGGGGTTGTGGTCTGTTAGTGACGAATTAATTACCATTGTAGTAGAAGATAAACTGGATCTAATCATTACATGATCAAGACAGTTGTCATATCTGGTTGGGTAAATATGAGCCGGTAGGAGACCGTGGAATGCAAGTGTCGTTAGATAGTCTGAAGAACGCGAGTCTGTGTTATTGTTTTTTATATCGATATTAATATCACCAGTTACAATGACATTCTTATACATAGCTAACGAGGACAAAATACTGTTAAGGCTATTTATGAAATTATTTGTATCCCGAAAGGACGGAGATCGATATATTGCAACAATAGCTGTGTCTTTATTAATTTTTAAAATCAAACAACTTCCCTCCAGATCATTTTGTTCATCCACAGAAACATATATATTATTTTTAATATACACAACAACTCCATCATTTTGGTTATGTATCTTCTTTGTAAAAAAATGTCTATAACCATCTAAGTTAGGAATAGTGGGTTGACAAGACAGCCAGCATTCGGTAAAAATCATAATATCACTTTCTATTTTTAGACGAGACAAAAAGGTCTCCATTCCTGTCCAATTACAAGATATACTCCTAATATTTTGTATTAAAAGCTTAAGGTACTTACTAGGGTTTGGCAGCAGGGTAATACAGTCTTCTGGATCACATTGTATCGCGTTAGATACTTTTATTTTGTCGATGTCAGATGTAATATTTTTATCAAACGAGGTGAATTTTAATTATTAATAGGTGGTCACTACGTATGAACCGTTTTAAGGTAATAATAAATTCATTTATAATCCCACAAAATAAGAAAACACAAAATTGCACATTTGTATAAAAATAATAAACCAAAATAAGATAATGTCTCGAATTGAGTTTTGATGTTTTTGTTATGTGGGTAAAAACATAATAGAATATATGGGGTACTATGAAAACAAACCAATCTAACAAATCTGAGGGAGATGGATAGAAGCTTGTTTGGAGTGAGTGAGAGCAAGATGTACGACACGGAAATATCACCACTGCGGGCTTATTATTTGGTTTACGTGAGTGTGTGTGGTTCAAGTTAAAAGCGAATGAAAAAATATTCCTTCTTACAAATAAAATCTGTACAGACAAATTTATAGTGATAAAAACAAAAAGTATTCCTGAAATGTAAATGCTTTGATAAATTAGATTTAGGTATGTAATAGATAGTCACTTATCACCACTTTTGAGTAATGTCACTTGAGACTCACTAGTGACATGTAATAACGGTGCCCCATCATTTTGTCGTAAGAAAACTTTACCATTCATGGTCCAACAGTATTTAAATAATTTACTTCTCATTAATTCTCTGGCTAAAAAGTATAGGCGTCTGGCCGTTGGTGTCAGATGTTCTACTACATAAATTGGACTGGGTGATCCAGAAATACCAAGATGGGTAGTATTTAGTTTTTCCGCTTGATTTTGAATGTTAAAGGTCTTAACTGCCTTAATGACCTTATTCTTTAATAATGGTGTGTTGAATTTTACTATAATAGGTTTTTTAATGTGTGGTTTACCTGGTAATCTTCTTATATCGTTTATATCACTCAATAACACATCTGCGCCCACTGCTTTGGTGACATTTTCAACAATTTTAAATAGGTCAGATTGATTTTCAGTGACACATACAGGAACGTTCCTTATTTCTAACGTACTTACACAGGACAGCCTTTGGAACTCTTCAATTTTGTTTTGTAAGTCTTTAATCTGTTGTTGGTGTTCATTATTACTTTCTTCTAAGTTAAGTATTTTAAGGTTCATATCGTCATATTGAGTAGATAGGAATTCTAAGGATTTCTCTATTTCAAAGTTGGTTTTTTGGACATCGGTTAACGTGTTTTTTACATCCGTTATATCAGTCTGCAATTTTGATAGTTTATAGTCGTTATCCGATTTCCATTCTATAAGCATTGTCCTTATCTCATCTTTGAATTTTTTAAATTCGTCCATAATATCCTCATCATCTCTACGTCTCTTTAGCCGATTGATTAAATTATTGCTTTTTTCTTCAGACTCTTTATTAACGAAGACATTAGAATCTGATCCATAGTGGTTTTTGGTGCTCACCGGAGTACGATTCATATTTATGGAGCTACCCGCTTACGCTTATGGCTTGGTTACCGCTGATACCAATGTCTTGAATTACGAGATTGCAGAAGTGCAGCGTATTTATATATTTAACTCGCTCACGTCTAATTGTCGGTCCTTGTCTTCCACGTTATACAGACAACCATAGACAGTCTGCTGATGATCAATAGCAATATAATAAGTTTTCACAACATGAATTGTTTATGTTTCACATTGGAGAAGAATAATCAATACCTACTGTAGTTTGTTTCAATCATAGACTTAGTAAGTTTATGATTGAAACAGACTTAGTATAACGTATTTATGAACTAAAAGAATTCAATAGAACTTAGACATATTTGGCCATAGTCAGTCAGCTGATGTCCAATAGCAGTATAAATTCATCATCATATCAACCAGTGATAAACATGCGCCTCCTCCTTGGGGGATTTTGTCAGAAATTTCCACGCTTGGCAGGCAGATTGGCAATCACAGTTAGATTTTAAAGATGTTTTAAGAGATATGACATTTTTATTGCTATTTATATATTATATATGTATATCATTTCTGTATATCTTACGGCATATTACAGCACCATGGGCAGTCTAGATTAGTGCAGTTGCTATGTGGTCCCGGCATAGAATGGGCCACCACCCATTCCTTTCCCATGGATATCGTAAGAGGCAACTAAAGAAACTTAATGATCGAGGGATGGACAGGAGGACATGGAGAAAGGGCGTCCCTCTTAAAATACTACCAAAAGCCTATTGCGGTTGCCAACCTGTGGCAAAATCCTACTTTATAGGGACCGTCTATGTTCAATAGTGGACATTTAATGCCTGACATAATGACGTGATGATTTTTTTATATTATTATTACTACAAAGTGAGTCGTAATGAGTCGCAATTACAGTGCAATTTGCATACATTGCAATCTGCCGTATTTGCCATCAATTATAATGGGCGATTAAGCGAATTAGTAACAATAAAAGTTAATAACGAAGCAATAGCAGTAAAATAGTTTAGTACCGTTTATTATTCCTTGCCTGCGATTTACAGAAGAATTTGAAAATGTTTCGATTCGTAGGTAAGTCACATTATATATGTTATTTTTTAGTCTTTTTTATACATATTCTTAATTATACTGGCTCTAAGAATCTTTTCCTTTCAGCAGAAGAATTTTCTTATATCAGACTATAGGGAAAGCAACTTTTCGACTCGATTACTATATTAAAATCGAAATAATAGATGAGATCGTGTATTAAGGAAGCGTAGTACCAATGAAACTAAACATTTTTCTCAAAGAAATATAAGTTGAAACACGACAATAAATCTTGTGCTTCCCGTGCTTGCTAACTTGATAGCTGAATTTACATTGTTCTTACAAAAGATTTTTTTAATAACCAATAGGCATATTTCATTCAGTTATTTTGAAATTTTTATTTGATTTGTGCATTTCATACTTCTACATCTTGGGATGTATTATTCCAAATAATAAAAAAAATTGTACAAATAAATTAATATTATTAAATAATAAAAAAAATTATATGCTCATAACTATAATTCCGAATGGGAAAGTCAGAGGTCGTCTATTACTGTTATGATTAATATAACATACAATATGCCCAATATGCACCGAGCATATTAGATAGAGGTAGTATTATGTAAGAACCGAAGTTGCCTTTTGGCCTTTTGGTTCAAGAAAGAGCATATTTCTTTTTAAAAGGTCGACACCACACCTGCAATGCTTTTGGTGTTGCGGGTGATCATTGGCGAGGGTAGTCACTTACCATCAAATGAGCAGCATGCTCGTTTGCCTCCTGTGTTATATAAAAAAACAATAATAATAATTATTATTGGGCTATTATTTGCATATTTTAATAATATTCCATTCTTTTTACAGTTTCAATATTTCTACTATTATTCTCCTTTGCGTCGAGCGGTTCGTACCGCTACGCGTCTCCCGCCGAAATACAAGATTACTATACGAGTATGTCGAACATAACCGATCCTTTGCCTCAACTGGAAAAGATAAAAAATTGCCAATGTCCTAGAATATATTTACCTGTATGTGGCACCGACAATAAGACATACACAAATTGATGTTGGATGAATTGTAAAAATGAAAACAAGACGAGACCTGTCACAATTAATTACATGGGCTTATGTTTAAACTTTTTAGATCCTTTCGATTGTAAAAAAGGACATGATGTATGCTATATTGTTTTTTTTTTATTTTATTTTACATCTGCTCGCTTGTCTGTAAGTTCTATAACCTTGCATTGTATTTTTTTTATTGAACGAAGATCGAATGTCTCTGGAAATAACACAGCGATGTGTATACCAGAGACAAACTATGAAAGTTCATAAAGAAAGACTTGTTCATAAAAAAAGATAGAGCATTAGGTTCTCTCTGCCTTCTACCTAAGAGATTTGCCGTGAATATCTACTATGCTATATAAAATGGCGGTTTTTTAGGCGTGGATGAACTTATGAAGAAGATGCAGATCGTTGGCCTATCAAAAGGGATCAACCGTAATAGTAAATGGTTTCTAAGGATCTCCCATTGATATAACCAGAAGGTGGGATAGGGATAGCGTTGCAAATGCTAGCCAATATTGTTAATATATCCAAATATGGCCGACCTTCATGGGCTCCCGCTGGAAACCACAATAATTCGTTCCAACCGTCACAATATTCAATGAAAATATGCCAAGTAACCTGGCTTCATTTTCATCAATTTATTCACTTTCTGGTGCCCCACCATTGATACTGTTAATACAGGCACCATTATATATTCATTCATAGTAAAAAAAATTACCAAATTTAAACCCCAGTTACGAAAAAATATCATAAACACAATTCAAATTAAAAAAAATAATCAGTTAATTAAAAAAGAGATCTCTGATAAACAAAAACAATATTGCTGAAGCCATTTAATAAAATGGGAGACAATTAATAAAAAGAATTAATAAAATAATCTACCTATTTTTCCTAAAAAAAACTGAAACAATTTCTTAAATTTACCCTTATAAATATTAATGGAAATAAATATTAAAAATGTTTTTAGCACAGAAATAGGGATGGTCCACGAAAATACCTCAATTTATTCAAATAAGAAAAGTAAGCGCTGAAACACATTACATTAAAAATTAATATTTCAATTTAGATTTAATCACTTGTACCAGAATATTATGTTACACAAAAAGGCATTTTTAGCTGTGCAAATAACAAGTATATTTAGCTCAATATTTAAAAAAAAGTCCCGCCAAATGTCCTGCCAAAATGAACTGTTAAAAAAAAATATTTCCAATGTAAGGATTCTAATGATTCTAATTAATAAGGATTCTAATTCTAATCCAAATCTGCCCTGGCGTTTAAGAGTAATGGTGGAATAAAGGAACTCATATACATATCATCATCATCACCTTCCTGTCCTAACCCCAATTATATAAATGTTGGGGTCGACGTAATATGTTTTTATCCATATTACCAAAAATTTTGGCTTTTAATTTTACAACCGGCCTGTCTGATGTCAACCCTCCTTGGGAATGTATTTATTGGTGATATCCACCACATACATACATGATCCAAAAACACATTGCGTTCCTTTTTCGAACAGTCGTGTAAAAGCGGCAGCTTCAATCCTAACGGATTCAGAAATAAATTTCATTAGTAATAATTATTAAAATTGTTTTATAATTGTCGTGTAGTATGTGTGTGCCTGTGTGTGGTCTTTCTCTCTCTCTGTGTGTGTATGTATGTTTATACATGTATGTGTGCGTGTGCGTGTGCGTGTGTGTGTGTGTGTGTGTGTCGACAGCATATTGAGTTCTGAACGGCCTGAGGTGCTCTTATACCGACGTTGGACTCTCGAGGCATGAACTGCCAGTGCTCTGTAGACTATTACGAATGCTTTAGTAATATATCAATAAGTATTTGTTGTGAATCGATATTTAAAATATCCTATGAGTTAAAATATGATAACCTACCTTCATAAAGTTTTACCCAATTCAACTGATCGATTATTTTATAGCATTTTATATGTGATTTTTTAGATTGATATAAGTTTTTTATTTATAAACCGATTGAAATTAAACAAACACTAATTATTAAGTAGAGCATTGCGTAGGCAGAAAATGGAATGGTATATTCCATTATCATTCATTACAAAGAATGCCTAATAGAGTACTTTTCACTAAATTACTAGCCAGTCGACTAAGTTACTAATGCAGTTGGAACTAGCGTATTTTAGTTGAATTTAGCTGCAAAATTACTCGTCTCTCTACTATATTATTAATGCAGTTAGAACTAGAAAAGCGTGAGAATATATTATCTCACTATCTTTCAGAACAAGACTTTATACTGTAGACTGAGTCTGGATATCTATGAAGTAATTTACTAAACTGCAATTTCATCATCAACATCATATTTGTTTTCATCATATCATATCAACTGAGTTGTGACCATTTTGTGTGCACACGCATGAAGAAAAGGAAAGGAAAAATATATTTTGTTTTTTTTTTTGTTTTGTTGCCTTTTTATTTTCATTATTTTATCTCTTTTACTGTTTATTATATGTATGTTTTTTTTTATTGTAGTTTGTGTGCTGTAAGTAATGTAAATAATTTATCTATCTGTCTATCTATATTAGCTTTTAACTGTACACTGACGACCATAAGCCTCCTCTTAGGGGGTTTTGCCAGTAGTGGGTCGCGACCTTAGATTACATAGATAGAGCATCGAGCCTCAAAGGCGGGTCAACTTTTTATCAGCTAATTCTCAAATTAGCCGACTCTTTTTTTATCAATATACTTTATACTTACGCATCAAATGTATCTTGACGTATTGTTTAATAAATAAAATGAGCATTTACGCAAAGTGCAAAAATTATGAAACAAAATAAATATAGAAGTTATTTATTTATTTATTTATTTATTACATCCACTGGGTGAGCCTTACAGTCTCCCAATACGCCCACCCAGGAAACTATAAAGGAAACACTCATAACTATATATCACGTATAATTGTATGAAAAATTTACCCGCTTTTTTTCGTAGTATTTGTATGCAGACACTATCTATATAATTTAAGGTTGCAGCATAGAATAGGCCACCATTTCCTTTCACGTGGATGTCGTAAGAGGCGACTAAGGGAAGGCGAGGGATAGACATCAGCGACACTCTTAGAACATCTCTAAAGCCTAACCGCAGTCGCCAATTCGCCTGCCAAGTATGACAACTACTGGCAACACCCCCCAAGGAGGAACCTTATGTTCAGCAGTGGACAGTTAAAGGCTGATACGATGATGATGATATTTTTATTATTACCTGCGTCTTCGTTCGCTATGGATATGTTAAAAGGTAGTCTATGTCCTTCTCTATCTCATACCTATATACCATATTTCATAGCAATTGGTTAAACCGTTAACATGCCAAGATATAACAATCAAACAAACTCACTTTCACATTTATAATGTTAGAAAGAACAATAGATACAAACTGAACTAATTAAAATGTAATTTGGTGAACCGATAGATAACATAATTGATTGAATTGATATTGACAAAGTCATGCTTTTTATAGTAATATGACGGTAAACAAGCATACGACCCGTCTGATGATAAACAGGGTTTCCATAGCCTATAGAAGACTGTAACACTAGGGATGTCACGTGCGTGAAATGTATAGTAGATATGTATATAGATTTTTAAATAAAACCAAGAGTGTACTCTGAAATCCGAAATCGAATAGTTCGAATTTAAACAATACACGATCAAACTTCGCTTTGGTTGACGTAACTAAAATTATTTCTCAATCCGTTAGGCTTAAATATATTTCAGTTGCACTGTGTGGGATGCCTGTACAGGTCGACCGAATCCAACGAAGTTCGTAGTAACAGACGCTCAAACTTTCGTTCGGTAGAAACTTCGAATCTGTTATTTCATAGTAGATCCATTAGGATACAAAAATAGTGATAGATATACATATGTTCTTTATTTTTCCCTCCTATTTAGGTTTATTGTATCTATAGGGGAGATTAATACATATCTATTTCTTACCAACGAAAACAAAATTTATCCTCATGATATAGATAGATAGATGAAGTAAACGCGGAAGACGCAGTTCCAGAGAAGTTTTCAGTAACATATACTGAGGTTATTGGATAAGTTTCACGCAAAAGGTATACCCCAGAGACTACAATGTGGGGTAAAAAGATACATTCTATTAGAGAAAAAGAGAAAAGACACATTCTATTATACTAGAGAAAGACTTTTTACAAAAGTCGATTGCTTGGGTACCTCTGTCCCATTCGTGTTTCTACCGTGAAGCAGTTGTGTTTGCATGCCTGTGTTTCGGTTTGAAGGGTGGGATATGGCGTAAATTTACAGGGTACAGAGGAATAACACCTGAGTCCTCAGGAATGGCAACGCTTGGGGGGTATCATGGGCGAAACAGTATACTCTGTTATGTCCATGGTACTGCTCATGTCTATCGGCGTCGGTTACCACTTTCCATCAGATGGGCCGTCAGCTTGTTTGCCATTCTAAGTTGTATAAAAAAAAATACTGCCTGATAAATTCAAATGACTAAGTACTATTTATAATTACTCATTTAATGCCACTTACAGTTTAAGATTGTACCAATTACTAAGTTAGATTTTTTCAATGTTATTAACTTCATTGGAATTTTTATTTTATTATTAAATAATACCACGAGCTGCTAAGAATTATAAAATGATGTATTATAAATCTTGTGAGTATTATTATATACAATGAGTTATTTTTTAGTCACAATTATGGGTTTAGTTCTAATCTAAATATAGTGCGTTAAACTCATTTATTTAAAAATTAACGAAACGGGATATTACAAATAAAAAGCTACTATCTAATTAGATTACATGGACACGTGTGTTGTAAATTACATGGACACGTGTGTTGTAAATTACCCAATAATTAATACTTAGTAATCAATTTCCAGTTCTATTAAGGTCGACTTAATTTTCATTATTAAATACTTACAGTCACATGTCGCTGACAAAATATAGAATTATGTATAAATATTGTAAGTTCTTTTTTTATTTTAGGATTTTTTTTTAAGTTCCTAAAAGGGGTTGACGTCAGGCAGGCGACCGGTCGTAAAACTATAAGACAAATCCTTTAGTAATATGGATAAAACCATATTACGCCGACCCCAAATAATAATTGGGATAAGGGTAGGAAGATGATGATTGTAAGATCGTTTTTCAATGTTCTTGTTCAATAAATCAATGGCAAAACCCCCCGATAGGGGGAGGCTTATGTTCAGCAGTGAACTGTTAAGGCTGATATGATGATGACGATGATTATAAGTTCTTATTATCATGCTTTATCATTCCCATATTATTCTATTTTAAAGTATTTATCGTCCTTGTTTCTGAGAGATTTATTTACATACCGACATAGCCCAAAGGATAAGCAAACTCAAGTGCCAATGGGCTGATTGAAGAACGAAGAACATCAACCGACGGGGAAATTCTTGAGTGGCAATCTTTCACTAGATGGAGTTACAACCTCAAATGCATTGCAAGGAGTCAGTGCCTCAGGACCGTTCCTTATGACAGTCTGTGAGGGAGTCTGTATTCAGCAGTGGACTGATAATGGCTGAGATGACGATTTTGTTCCCCTTAAATAAAGATACAGTTCCATAAATTTATAAACACAAAAAAAAACATAAAAGAGTGTTGAGTTGTGATGAACGTATCAATCAACATGGAGGGAGAAGGAATGATTAGTAATGAGGACTAGCGGTCCCATTGCTAGCTTTATACTCCGTCAGGTCGAGCTCCACACGGTTCCCCCTGGAAATTATCGTGGTTTATTAATAATGACTTCGTCACAATAGGTCAACTTATCAACTTTTCTCCTTACCTCCTCTCATCCCTCACTGATGCCCTGTCAGTGTATATATTTCGCTGAGAATTTTTTTTTTTTGGATAGGTGAAAATGGAATGGTAACCCCGCCTGCGCTAACGGGATACGCTGGCGGAGCACCAATGAAGGGTGACAAATGAGAATGAAAACAGGCCAGTTAGCCTATTATGATGAATTCATCAGGAATTAACCACGATAGTTTCCAGGGGGAATCGCGAGGAGGTCGACCTGGTTGGGTATATTGCTAGCAAAGGGATTCTCAGTTTCCATTCCTAACAATCCTTTTGCAACCCTCTGCAAAATTAGAATCCAATTTTGCAGAGGACGAGCTTACACTAGTCACTCGGATTACTATTTGCTTTGTTATTGGTATTTTTCGTCACCAGAAAGATAATTTGAAATTTAAATTATGCTGTACTAATTTTTTTTTTCAGGCATTGCGCTTATATCAATTCTAGCTGTACTATCGCAAATAAAAATGCAATTAAATGATAGGTTCTCTAATATGAAATGGGGTACTACGACAATGAAATATACCAACATGCTACCACCGCTGGGCAAGAAAATGGAGTGCGAGGAATGTCCAAACGTGTACTATCCAGTGTGTAGCACAGAAAACAAAACGTATATGAACATATGCCATTTTAATTGTTTGAATTTGAAACATGTTAAGATAGTTAGACGAGGTATTTGTATTTTTTATTAATAAAACATTTATTTGATGAAAATTTTATTTAATTCCGCTATAATTAGTATATGTGTGTGTTTTTTTTATACAACTTAGAATAGCAAACAAGCTGACTGCCCACGTGATCGAAAGTGGTAACCGTCGCCTATAGACATGAGCAGTACCATGGACATAACAGAGTATGGTGTTTCACCCATGATACCTCCCATGCGTTGCCAGTCCTGCACGTAAGAATGCCACGTTTATGTATGTTTAAATTTTAAGAGTAGCATATGGCAGTGGAATTACAGAGTATGGAGGCATGACACCATCATCATTATATCGTCATCATATCAGCTGGTAACTGTCCATAGCTGAACATAGGCCTCTCCCATAAGGGGAGTTGTACCAGTATTTGTAACGCTTGGCAGATGGGTTGACAACCGCAGTTAGGATTTGGTGATGTTTTAAGAGGGACGCTGCTGCTCATCCCTCGGCCATTAAGTTCCCTTAGTCATATTTTACGATTCTCACGGGAAAGGAAGGGGTTGTATCGCAAAACGTGCGTGGACTGAATAGCGGGTGGAGATTGACGGCTAATATGGAAGGTTCACTTCTGGTGATAATAATAATAATCAATCTTCGACTGTTGGTAGCCACACTTACCAAAGGGAGACTTTGTACAAAAGTCGATTGCTTGGGTGCCTCTGTCCCATTCGTGTTTCTACCGTGAAGCAGTTGTGTTTGCATGGCTGTGTTTCGGTTTGAAGGATGGGATATGGCGTGAATTTACTGGGTACAGAGGAATAACACCTGAGTCCTCAGGAATGGCAACGCATGGGGGGTATCATGGGCGAAACAGTATACTCTGTTACGTCCATGGTACTGCTCATGTCTATAGGCGACGGTTACCACTTTCCATCAGGTGGGCCGTCAGCTTGTTTGCCATTCTAAGTTGTATAAAAAAAATTCTTTCATTATCACCACAAAGAGTAAGTTATGATTACTTAAGTACTAGTTATTCATAAAATGTTATCAGACAAGTATTTCAATTATCCAACATTAAGTAAAATTAGATTCATTAAAAAGAGCTTACATGCTTTTATAATTAGTATGCTAAAATTGTATTATGAATTAATCTCATGCATATTAAGGCACAATCATTGTTTAGATTGATTAATATTTTAAATAAGAGAATATTCATTAAAAGAAACACAGATTAATATTAAAATGAACAAAAATGAGAATAATATAAAAAAAATTAAGCACTGTAAGTATTAGTTTCATTGATGCGTGGTTTCTGTATAGAATGGGCAATCCTTTCCTTTCCCGTGGCGTAAGAGTCGACTTAAAGGGCAAAAGAGGAAGAGGAAGACCGAGGAATAACTACATGGGACAGATAAAGGAAACACTAGGCGTCATGTCGTATAGGGAGATAAAGGATATGGCCTGGGATAGAGCTGGCTGGAGGAAGATGCATGAATTAGTTGCACCGACAAGAGGAAACTCTTAAATGAAAAGAAGAAAGAGTCGACTAAGGGAAGTTAATGGTCAAGAGATAGAGAACAGCGTCCCTCTTAAAACGTCACTAAAGCCTAACTGCGGTTGTGGGGGGGAGGGGGGAAAGGGATAGTTAGTAATACGGACTACTAGTCTTATTGCTAGCAATATACCCTGTCAGGTTGACCTCCACGTGGTTCCCCCTGGAAATCACTATGCTGGATTCTATATATATTCATTACGATGGGCTAACTGTACTGCTTTTTCATTCTCACCATCATTTTTTCATCATCCCTCACTGGTGCCCCACCAGCGCCTACCGTTTACGCAGGCAAGGATACCGTTCCATTATCATCGATTAAAAAAAAATTGCGGTTACCAACCCGCCTATAAGCGTGAAAACTACTGATAAAATCTTTCAAGAGGAAGGCTTGTGTTCAGCAGAGGACAGTTTAAGGCTGGTATGATGATGATGATGTGTAAGAAAAAGAAGAAAAGAAGTTAGTAACCACATTATAAGTTCCCTTAGTCTCCTCTTACGATACTTATGAGATAAGAAGCGGTGGCCTATTCTATGCAGAGACCACATGGCCGTTCTTATACATCGTAATAACAGAAAACTCTGTTTTAGTCTATTTAGTTTGAGACTAAGTAAAACCGTAATATTTGCACCAGTATTAATTTATTGCTTGCTTTATTTTCAGTTATTTCATTATTATTATTATTTATACTCTCAAAACCATGTGTTGGACAATTTCAAGGTATCGAAGATCTTTTACCACCATTAGGCTCGACGAGACCGTGTGAAAAATGTCCAAACGTTTACTTTCCAGTTTGCACCACAGACAATAAAACGTATATGAATATATGTCAATTCAATTGCCTTAACTTGACGAAAGTGAGAATAGCCAGCAGAGGTGTTTGTATATATTATTAATAAAATAAAACATACTCCTATTTCAGTCCCTTATTAATTTTGTTAACATTAAAGCTGGTTATTCTTTTGTAAAACTTATTATTGCCGTAGAATCTTACTAATCTTCTCCTGGGATACATTCAAGAACAATTAATATAAGGGGTTTTGATAAGACTAACTGATACTAAAACCGTATTTTTTAGAAATGATGTCAGTCTGTCTGTCTCTCTCTATCTGTCTGTATGTTTATTCGGGTATCACGAGAGAACTACGAGTACAATACCAAATTGGATGCGGTTTTCACAGTTATATGGCAGAACGTCTAATTTATAATTTCGTCTATGTTATCTATCTTATATGTATCTTAATACACCATCCTGAAAAGATCTATTTTATTGTTTTTCCTACTTCAGAAATCAACGCCTACAAAGCAAAGTGTTTCTCCTATACTTTGTACGCCTTGATTTCTTGTTAGTATATTAATAAACTAGCGGTCCGTCCCGGCGTCATACGGGTGGACATTTTTACATTTAATAAAGTGACCATTAAGGCTGCACACGCGACGGAAGCTTAAAAATGGAGTAGCTTCTCCCGTTTTCCCAACATTTCCCTTCACTGCTCTGCTTCTATTGATCGTAGCGTGATGAAAAGTATACTATAATCTGCCCAGGAGTATGAAGAATAATTGTACCGAGTTTTGTTAAAATCCGTCGAGTAGTTTTTGTTTCTATAACAAACATACAGACAGACAGACAAAAATTTTACTAATTGCATTTTTTGCATCAGTATCGATCACTAATCAGCCCCTGATAGTTATTTTGGAAATATATTTCATGTACAAAATTGACCTCTCTACAGATTTATTATAAGTATTGATAAAAAAAAGAAATAGTTTTTATTCCACTAAAATGAAGGCTTGTATTACTACATTCTTTCTTTTTAAATCGCTCTTAGTCTTTGTTTTTTTTAAAGGTGATAATCAAATGTAGGGCATTAGTGAGCGATGATAGGTGAAGATGTAAGCAGGTCAGTTACTACATTAATAATAATTAACTATATGGTTTTCAGGTGGGTTCGTTTAGAGGTCGGCATAACAACTCTGTCACTCTGTCTGTGCAATATATTTATATTGTTGCACATAACAAATCTCGTAAACTGCTGTCTTCCATGACTCTTACTTTTCGGTCCTATAGTAATTGGGAGGAGAGGAAATTATTAGTGATTCATTAATAGTAAATTAGCACCATAATTACTACAGCTCTTCTCAGCTTGACTTCTATTGGTCGTTAGTTAATTCCTAGTAAACTCGTCACGAAGGACCAATTGACCTACTCTCATCTTCACTAGTACCTTTTTAACATATGATAGTGAAGCTAGCAGGGTTACGGTTCCATTATAATTTATAAAATATATAATTATTATTATATTTGAAGCAATGAGATTGTCATATGCAAATATGACAATCTGATTGAACTCAACAAGACAAAGATTTCAAATATAAACAAAATCAAAAAATTTAGCTGTTCATAATTAGTCTCTAGCCAAATAATAAAATGCATTTACATGTATTCGATATATAAATAGCAAAGTAATATTGACATCATCATTACAATCATTTCAGCCATTATTCGTCCACTGCTGGACATAAGCCTCCCCCATAGACTGCCATAAAGGACGGTCCTGAACCACCTGCATCCACTGACTCCCTGCAATGTATTTCAGGTCGTCGCTTCATCCAGTGGGAGGGTCGTTCTACACCGCGATTGCCAGTACAGGGTCGTCATATTGATATACTTGTACATAATTCTCTCATCCATCTGCATTTTTGCACTATACACGTATTATAAGATAATCTTTTGCTCGCGAGGAAGGCAACATCCCCCATATTTAATTACATCCCAACACGAACACTACTCGGGAATTATAATAGAGCAAATCCAGGCCTGACTCGTTTCCTCGATGAGTGTTTGGTACAAATCATAAGATGACAGCGAGACATTTCAGTAAACAAATATAATATAAATTTTGTATTATATATTATATTATATATTATATTATAAATATAAACAAATATAATATCTCTCTATACAAATAAAATCTTTTTTATATTAATTACACAAAAGGTATTAATATTGAATTGTGATTATTTGAAACATGTTTCGCCAATTTTGTCCATAAACATGACAAATATTATGAGTGCGTTCAATTTAATTGTAATAGTTTACAAAAATATTTTATTAGGGATTATATCCATAAGAATTTTCATTCCATATAAATTCAATGCTATTTAGCAATAAGTGCTTGTGAACAGCTAATCTATTTTGCTTCGTAAGTTGAAAAATATGAACTGTACTAGTATTTTATTAAAGAATTTATTCGCAATGAATTATTAAAGTTGCGTTGGTTTGGCCATTTGGAATGGATAGATAAAAGAAGAATTACAAAAGAAATTTATCGAACTAGATGAATGAATGAATGAATGAAAATTTATTTCAATATTCCATAACACTTACATATACTTAAATTACAAGTAATAACAACATAAAAAATAAATGAAATATAGTAAAAAATGTTTACATTTATATATAAAGAGTAGTTACAATCAGTCAGTGTTATGGAAATGAAAAAGGATGCCAATTCAGCCTAAAGCTCCTGCAGAAGTAGAAATACTAAACACACCTACTTAAGACCTCATCACCTAGCCCGGTCCATCAAGATCATAAATCAACATTCAGAGTAACACAATACACAAACATGCGCAAAACAATAAGTAAAAAACAAAAATATTAGTAAACACAAAAAATAACAAAAGAAAAACAAGAACAAAAAATGTTTCGACCCTATGTGTAGAATAAAACAAGTATCCAAGCCTTGACAATAACTGTACGATTGTAGATTTAATGAAGATGTCAGTAGGAGTCGCCCCAGACAGACATATGTCGACATAGGCAACGTGCTGAAGAAGGACCAAATTAAAAGTACCCGTAACCAGAGAACGTGTTAGAAAAGATTAACGAATGTGGAATAAGCAAAAGAGGCTTGTTGGAATCGAAACATCTGGGTTCTATTTATTCTGTTTATTTTAATGAGAGAGATGTGAGATAGATACGATCGATTTAATTGTTCTGTTTTTATAACTTTTAAGTAAATTTAATGCCTACTTTATTATATTTTATCCTATAAATTTAGAGCACATTACATATCGTGCACTATAATGATAAACAATTTAATAAAATCTGGTACTCTAAAAACATTAATTAAGGTAAGTACAGTCACAAAGAGCCTTATTTTCGTGGTTTTAAACACTTCTTAAACGTATTAAAATAACTTTATGCTATATTATCTCAAACAATACAGTAAAATACTTTTCTTCTTCTTACTTAACAGATTAGTCGATATCTCATGTATCTGAAATTGGCAATTTTACTTAACTTCTATTAACAGCACTATCTCTCAAAGTATTATTTAAAAAGTTGAAATAACATCGTTTAACATTATCTGCAGCTTACAAAAATAACTCGAGATATCAGAAGCATGTTAATTGAATTTGAAATTATAGTTAATTTATTATATGATTCAGATGAATGAATGAGTGAAAACTCTTTATTTTTCCCTACAAAGAATGTATGTATACAAACATATTGTTAATCTTTATAATGCATAATTAATTACATAAACTTAATTACATAAAAGCAAGATAAAAAGGGAACAATAATGTCCTTTTTCACAATAAATGTTTAGGGCCTGTGCAGATCAGGGAAAATTCCCGATGTATTTTCTATCTTCTGTAAATAACATACGTAGATATCCTCGTATATGTCGCTTACTTGTGAGTAATATGCCCCTGGCTAATATAACAAGATATTTAGTCCTCCACGGATAAAAGTTAAAACAATTTTATCGTCACCAACCCATTAACGTAACATTTATGGGCGACGATTCTTTCCCCATAGACGGATTTGTAAAGAGTTTTATTTCGAATTTTCCTTCTCTCATACTAATGTGTTATACTTTTTTTTCCATTAGTCGCTCAATATATCCGAGTGTCGAAAAAAAACAAACAATCCCAAGGATGACAAAATTATCGACATTCCTCTGCATACATTCTTGTCCGTGATAATGGAACGCATTGAATTCTGTGTTATAACGCACATGGGTCCCCGCAAGAACGATTTGCACAAAGAAAAAAATTTCAATTCTGGCCTTCAATGTATTCTATTATAATAATAAAAAAGGACAACGGCTGTATTTCTTTCAGAAATAAACGTAAAGCAAAAATTGCGCCGAATTCACTTGAACTCAATATTTTAAACTTCATAACTGTACCACATTATGTTCTCTATACGCTTAGTTTCTCGACTTATTAAGTAACTACTAATCGATGACGGGATAATATAATGAAATATATATAATTAATAAAATGAAGTGTAAATTAAAACAATAGTTCTTGCATAATATTAATACAATTTGAAATTAGTCTCAATGTACTTAGGTTTAATATAAACATACATGGTGTTCGAATGCTAATAGAACATGTTTTTTGTGATTTTGAATTTTTGTAATAATAAATAAAAAAATCCTATTAATATTGTAAATATGAAAGCGGATTTGTTTGTTTTTTTTTTTATTCACTTGACAATTTAGCAGCTCAACCAATCGTAATGTTTATACACATTTTGGATAGTGAAGTATATAGGCAACTTTTTATTCCAGTCTATCAACAGAGTCCTGTCATTCAGATCAAATTGCGAAAAAGATTTTTCTTCCAGTCAACCTAACACACTGATATAGGAAATAGAGAGTGGGCAGCAGTGATGTAAAATAGAAATCTATACAACAATAATTTACATATCATATTTGAATTATACAATACTAATACATATATACCGTACATATATGTGTTAATTATACAATATATTACAAATTTTAAATCCGTTCCTAGTTGTTTCTTGGACCATATCCGATAAGCCTTTGAGGGTTACGTCATCGCAACGACTAGAGATTGTTCTAATAGCCACTTATAGTTAGTCATTATCTTCAGTTTGTTATACAACAACTAGGAGCGTATTTCAAAAGTTAGTACTCTTCTACTAACAAGTTATAATGTTAAGCCTTAGTTCTTAATATCCTATACTAACCCAGGAAAAGTTGTTTTTCCCCCAACTGCCATCTACCGGATCTAGAATATAATAGAAAGCATCTTATTTTAAAAAAGACGTTTTTACAAACTCTTTTACATCGTCCTTTCTTATGATTCTGACTATCTGTCTGGTGTTTGTTCTGCCATCACGTAAAAACTACTACACCAAAAAGGATGCAATTCCTAGAGTTGTATTCCTGAAGATCTAATTTAAAATTTGATATATGATTTAACTTGATACACCATCTAGAAGTAGTATATCGTATCATTATTTTTCTATTTGTAACTTCCACGCGTGCGAAATAGTGGCCAAAAAAACTAGTGGTAAGTTTACGATAGTATCTTTATTTTTAATTTATTCTATACACTAATAATATAAAAAATTACATGACAGAGATACAAAGGCCAATGTACAAAGGCGAGCATAACTCTAAAAGAGTTATTTTCCAACAAACCTAAAATGGAAAGAAGCATCAATGCCAGCGGGTAGAGCGGTGTATAATGTTGTAACAATTGTCAAATATGAAGAACTGTACAAATTTAAGTTTATAACTAACTAATTATGTCGTATTTGATTGTATATATACACACATGTACACATACATACACAAACACAAACATGCGCACGCACACGCACACACACAGACTTGCACACGTACGCACGCACGCACGCACACAAGCATGCACTTACACGCACACACACGCATACACGAACGCACACACATATACCTTCACACACAATCAAATAAAAAGTATGTTCAAAAGGATAGAATCTTGTTTATAGAGTTATCTAGTTGAAAGATAAATAGATTTCGTATTTCAATGTCCAAATTTAAAAAATCGATATCACGTTACTGCCGCTCGCGAAACAAAGATCGGTATTATATATTTAAGTAATTTGTCTTCTTAATTGCCTCACTCAAGTCCCGTCTTTATTCGTCCTCTGGAGTTCACTTGAATTAATGCAGTTAGCTCCGAGCTTGGAATTTAACTGAAATTTCTTTACATTCAACCAAAGGGAGACAAAAGACCTCAGAACTCGCTAGTATCGCTATACTAAATACACAGAAGGAATACGAAATGATTCGTATTTTTCAACCGACTTCAAACAGAAGGAGGTTCTCAATTTAATAGTATTTTTTTTGTTTTTTACCTCTTAATTCCGTTAGTTATAAAACTATTTGGAAAATCCTTTTTTATCAAAAAAGGTATACTTTCAGATTGATCCCATAGACAATTTGTCGTCGTTTTAATAGTTTAGTTTTTAAATTCAAATAACCAGTTTTGTCATAATAAAAGAAGGTGGAACACGTTTTTTTTTTATTATTTCAGAGAGTGTTCTACCAATAGAATTGATTATTTTAAATTAAAAAAAAATGTGTCGAAATATTACAAGTAATTTTATAATATGCTATCCATCCAGTCTGGATCCGCACGGGTAGATAGAATTTTTGACAATAAGTTTTGAGTTTATCGATTACAACGTTTTTATTATTATGTCTATATACATTTATTATAATTTAACTCGCGGAAGTATTAATTCTACTTGGATAGTTATTGTTATAGTAACTATCACTACATTTTTTTTTACAACACAGGGGGCAAACGAGTATGCGGCTCTCCTGATGGTAAGTGACTACCGCATCCCATGATCACTCACTACACCAACGGCATTACATGTGTGCTGCCGGCCTCTTAAAAAGGAATTTGCTCTTTTTTTGAAGGGTATGCTGTCGTATCCGTTCGGAAATACTGCTGCTGGAAGTTGATTCCAAAGAGTACTTGTGCGTGGAATAAAGTGACTTGAAAAATGGACAGTGGAAGACAGTCATTTGTTCAGATAGTTGGGATGAAATTTTAGTGTATAGCGGACTGTACGTTGTGAAAATCAGCAGCAGGTATCAATTCGAACAATTCTTCAAAGCACTCCCCATGATAAATTCGGTAGAAGATGCACAGAAATGCAACATCTCTACGCAGTTTCAGTGCGTCAAGTCCATTTATACAAACCGAAGTCCTTTAAAATAAAGAAATTCTTCAAATTGATTTGTTTAAAATTTGAACCACCTTCTTTCTTTCGTATGCCATTCTAAGTTGTATAAAAAAAATCTTACTTTTTTTGTTTATTTATTTATTGTTACCTGCAGTTTACAAACGATTAAACTCCAAGGCACTACAGGTAATTATATTTTTTGTACATATCAAATTATTTACAATATTTAATACTATTAATTATAAAATGTAAAAGATTAATATTTTTTAATAAGTATAAAAGGCCTATAAAAGTATAATTTGCAGAAATGCAACATCTCTACGCAGTTTCAGTGCGTCAAGTCCATTTATACAAACCGAAGTCCTTTAAAATAAAGAAATTCTTCAAATAAATTTGTTTAAAATTTGAACCACCTTCTTTCTTATGTAAGTAAATAACAACGTAATTTCTTCAAGGTTTATGAAGAGGAAGCGCTCAGTAATTGTAATAATTAATCATAATATTTATGCGTCGCCATGTTTCGAATTTTGAAGAGACGACGAGTTATCAGCTTAAAATCGTTATCATTTGAAACATGGTACCATTGTTTTGGAATTCTATAACAATAAAATGTTAATTGTCCCGCCGTCACGGAGCGACTTGGCAATAGTAACATAAATCCTCGTTATTATTTATATATACCCTGTTCATATATATATATATATATATATATATATATATGGATGGCATTTCTAGATGGCATCTAAAGATATAACATATTTCACCTGATTTTAAGGTTAACCTTCAAAAATTCAATTGCTTAAACCACATTCAATTTAATGCAATATTTTTTTACATGATCTCAGAACTATAGACAAATAAATTCTAAATACTATTTTGTCAAATGTCGCTCAGTGAAAAGGATCATTAAAATTCAACAATAACTTATTTTACTGCAATTCAATTATACAATGTACTGATGAATTCGACATTCAACATTTTAATTAAATTGTAACAATTTATTACAACATTGAAACTTCTATTTCACTAAAACAAATTGAACTGTATTTTAGATTGAACGTTATTTAACTTAATGTATCTTCATTTACAAAGATATATCAAATTGACAGTCCTAATTTAAGTGCACTATAGTAAAATCGTAAATGCAAAAGTTTGTATAACTTTTCAGTTCTTTTTTTTAAATAATTTTAAAAATCTATTTAGTAGTTCTAGAAAAGGGTGATTTAGGAACTTTTGAAACACTGAAAACACTCTTATGTGACTAATAATATTAGCATAAGAATAAATCCTTCTTCTTATGGTATGAGTATAGTCTTACCAGAGGGAGATTTTACAAAAGTCGATTGCTTGGGTATCTCTTTCCCATTCGTGTTTCAACCGTAAAGCAGTTGTGTTTGCATGGCTATGTTTCGGTTTGAAGGGTGGGATATGGCGTGAATTTACTGGGTACAGAGGAACAACACCTGAGTCCTCAGGAATGGCAACGCATGGGGGGTATCATGGGCGAAACAGTATACTCTGTTATGTCCATGGTACTGCTCATGTCTATAGGTGACGGTTACCACTTTCTATCAGGTGGGCCGTCAGCTTGTTTGCCATTCTAAGTTGTATAAAAAAAAAATACTTACTTTTTTTTTATTTATTTATTGTTACCTGCAGTTTACAAATGATTAAACTTCAAGACACTACAGGTAATTATAATAATTATAAAATGTAAAAGATTAACATTTTTTAATAAGTATAAAAGGACTATAAAAGTATAATTTGTAGTTACATAAATATCCATATAATTTATATAATATGAATCCATAATAAACATTCACCAGAACAAAGTCACATCCAAATATGTTCTTTCAATTAGTTCCACTTCTATTTGTTTCATTCCATAAATTTTAAATACCAGTTTTGAAAGTGTATGAAAGATTTACATCTATATTTAATGGCTTCGCCATACTAGATTGTGCAATCTAGCCATTAAAGGCAACATAAAGCGAGCAACGACTAGCACATTACTATATTTTTAAGTAACGCTAAACAGAAGAAGCTCGTAAATTTGTCTATATTATCTTACTTACTAACATAAATGTTATAATAATAATTTTAAGAACTCTCAGTTTCTTGCTACAATATACTTTAATAGTTCAGTGAAAGTTGTGGATAAAAAAAAAATAAAATTAAAATTTTATTTACATTTTAAATTTACTCCGTGATCATATCGGTTACAAGTTTACTCCTCAACTTAGGTAGAGGTATCTGAATTTTTAAACTTATTCATTATTCAATTTTTAACACTATCTTATCAAGTAAAACGTAACAAGCAATCACGATTCGTAATATAAGTCTTTGTGCAACTCACATTATCCACTCAGAAGGTAACTAAAATGGATTTAAGTCCATCACAGACAGTACTATGATGTAATATATATTTTTGCACTCATAAACGTAACAAAAATCTTATTATATATCATAATATGCCTTATTGTAATTTATATAATTATATATTTTAGCTTCGTCTGTGACGGGCTTTACACACGATCAGTTACTAAAATGGAATACAATTGCCCTGATGTACCACGGTCATATTCTCCGTCCCATTCTCGCATTCCATTTGGCACACGTTGTAATAGGAGTTGTCGTTTGATGCGCAGACTGGATCGTAAATCTTAGAACAAATGCATTGTTTATTTTGCGGACCCTCCTCGGTTTCCGGAATGGGATTCCTGTAAGGTACACATAAAATTTCCTAATAATGTTTTATTGCCTATAAATTTAATATAAATAATACAAAAGATACATACCTAATTCCATTATGATTATGAGTCGTAATTAAAATGTCTATCCATTGTTTATATAAATTTACTCATAATTCCATTACAATAAAAAATAATATAAATAAATAAAACATATAAAAAATATTTATATAACGATATTTACTATTAAAAATTTTTGTACATTATTTAAAAAATATATATATTATAGTCAGAAATCCTTTGAATAATTTAAATCTATAAAAAGGGCCCATAATTTCATTATGCATATGAAATATTTACGAGAATAAGATGTAATAAAATTTATATAATTATTCCATAATGTATTTTATTTATGTAGCACAAAATTGAGACGATTCTATCATTCTATTTATTCAATTTTAAAGTTCTTTTACATGTTGTATGAAAAATCTAATCACTTTAACACACATAATACACAAGAATGTACCCAAAAATCATTTCCTTCCTTCGGCAGTTGAATTAACAGAATTTACAAACAAATTTCTGTCAGCCGGGATCGAATCCGTTCACTTTGTTTCGCGACTACACCATAAAGCTTTAACATAAGCGCAAAGTGATTTATCCGGTCTATATGTAGGATAATATTTACCCTTGTCTAAGTGCCCTATTCCATGTATTCTTCGGCATCGTGCCGGTAAATGGTGACATTTTTTTCCATCTGTCACTGTCACTACCATTCGTACAGCACATAATAAATAATAGGCACGTGAATGTATCTGAAAATATAATATTATATATAGTTAAAGTGAAATGATCCTTTAGCATCCTTTGAAGGTTATTAACCTGCCTGACAAGCGTGGCAACTACATCTGTTGGCAAAATCCTCCCTTATAGGGGAAGCTTATGTTCAGCAGCGACAGTTAAAAACTGATGTAATGATGATCTTTTGATGGAAGTGAATATTTTCACCAACAGTAAAATTCGTATCTTCCATACTGAGTGAATGACGCAAAATTTTGTATCATTTTTGAATTTTTGATTAACGAAATTTCTCCTCTAATATATTTAATAACGTAGTTAGATTTTCAGTTTTACGTGTATAATTGGATCAAAATGGTGTTAAGCACCTGTAACACCAAAGGCATTGCAGGTACACTGTCGGCCTTTTAAAAAGAAATATGCTCTTTTCTTGAAAACTACCATGAATAAATTGTGCAAATTTTGACAATATATGTTTTTTTTTTATTATATATTTAATAATGTAGTTAATAAATTATATACTAAGTAGCATACTGGCCTAATAAATTACCATTCTTATAATGGTAACAACATATATAACCCGTAACTCGAAATGTCATCAAATGCTAACAAACAATAACGTCAATATATTAAAAATAAAAAAATACTATTATTAAGATTTCTTTTTTTTATGAAATCGGTTAAAAATAATTTCAACTCACAAACGGTAACCATTATCTGCGTCAATTCTGTATTTGTTGTGATTGAAGAGTATATCTCTTATCCGCTATTCCATTTAATCAATCAAGTTTCGTTCCGTTTCTATAAATCAATTTACTTACAATTGGATCTAATACAAAAGGTAATTGAATGAGGCTTATCATATTTTCAACCAACTTCTAAAAAAGGAAGTACTTTAACTGTCTCCACTTTTTGTGTATGTGTGTATATTGTTTTTACTAATATGTGAACCGATTTTGACGATTCTGTTTTTATTGTAACGTAGACTTTCCTATTAATTGCATACTTATTATATCAAAAAGTCTTATTTAAAGTAGCAAATTACAAAAAATATTCCTCAAAGATTTTGCTCCACAAAAAAAGCCTTCCAAACAAACCTTCCTCAGAAACCTAACTTAACAATTGCAGGAGAAAGAGATTGTTATTATTAAAGGGGTCTAATAATCCCATTGTGTAACAATAATCACAATATGCCCTGTCAGGTCAAACTTCACGCGGTTTCCTGTTTAAATCATACTGGTTATTTCTTGAATTCATCACTATTTAACTGATTAACTGACCTGCATTCATCTTCACTTATTATCACTCACTGGTGCCACGCCTGTGTATACCGATAGCGCAGGCAGGTTTAGCTGATTTCATCCATAAATAAAAAAACACCTAACGATTGCAAAAAGAAATAACAAATTCGGTTCAGAGTTAACGAAGCTATCACTGAATATACACGCAAAAATATAGAGACGAATTGAGATTTTCCTCCGTTTAAAATTGCCTACAATTACTAGAAAAGGGAGCCAAAGGGAGACTTTGTACAAAAGTCATTTGCTTGGGTACCTGTGTCCTATTTGTGTTTCTGCCGTAAAGCAGTTGTTTGCATGGCTGTGTTTCAGTTTGAAGGGTGGGATATGGCAGTAAATTTACAGGGTGCAGAGGAATAACACCGTCCTCAGAAATGGCAACGCATTGAGGGTATCATGGTCGAAACAGTATACTCTGTTATGTTCATGGTATTGCTCAGGTCTATAGGCACGGTTACCACTTTCTATTAGGTGGGCCGTCAGCTTGTTTGCCATTCTAAGTTGTATAAAAAAATACTACGATACTGACTGACAACGACACCATCAATTCTAAATTTCCGCGCATTTTTTTATTTATCAAAATGAAACCAAACGAATCCTTGCCCCTTGGCTGACAGTGAAAAATCAAACAGAATTAATCAATTCAAATTAGAATGCCAGAATAACCAGCCATCAATTAAAATAAAGGATCCTCTTTCCAGCATTGACGTTTCAATGATTACCCTAAGCTCATCATTCATAGCCCAATTGAGTCCCAATTACTAAAAGTTGTCATTAATCAGCTATGCTCCTTGAAACGGAAGGTGACGCGGTCTTAACTTAGAGTAAAACAAGAACTCCATATTATCTGGATATGCCTCTTTTAAGCGATTTTTAAAAATTAAGTTATTAATTGTTACTAATATTAGTAAAGTGGCTGATTCTATGCTGGTACCACACAGCATAGAATTGCCCACCACTTCCTTTTCCATGACCATCATAAGAGGTGACTAAAGGAGGGCGAGGAATGGGCAGCAGCGTCCCTCTTAAAACATCTCTAAAGCCTAACTGCGGTTACTTACCCGCTTACTAAGCATGAAAGTTACTGGCAATACCCTCCAAAGGGGATGCTTATATTCAGCAGTGGACAGGCTGATATGATAATGATAATAATTAACAAAGTGAAGTAAAGTGTTTGTTTTTTATGCAGCAGCAAAAAAGCTGACGTTTCACCAGATGGAACGTGGTAACCGTCACCTGTAGATATAAATAATACCATCGACATAACAGAGTATACTGTGTCATCCGATACCCCTCATGTATTGTCATTCCTGAAGACTGAGGTGTTGCCTCTATACCCTGTAATATCATTGTCATAATCTACCCTTCAAACCGAAACAAAGTCCTGCAAACAACTGCTTCAGGTCAAGAAATAACAAGCAAACTACTGTTGTACCAAGTCTCCGTCTGTTACTACTTAGTGCCTTAACGGTTTAACCAATCGCTGTGATATTTGGTGTAAACATACTATATTCGACGAAGAAAGACTACTATATACATCATTCAGTGAATATATCTCGGTCACGCCGACAGAGTCCCAAATAAAAGTTAGTTCGAATATATTTTTTATACTTCTATCGTGGCAAACAAGTATACGGTCGTTCTAATGGTAAACGGGCTTACCATAGCCCGTTTACCATTACTACCGTACAGTAGTGCAGTATATCACTTTTGGCCAAAACAGAATATCAGTGTTTTGCTCTTTTTAGGGCAAAGCAATAAGCTGAGTTGTGACCATTTTGTCTTACTGTGGCACATGCATGAGGGGAAAAAATTGTTACTATTTTTATTCATTTTGTTTTTGTTTTTTTTTTTTATTTTTTGTACATGTATCTTTTTTCATTGTGCACTTATGTCTATTTTTGTTTGTGTGCTGTAAATAATGCAAATAAATTATCTATCTATCTATCTATAGACGCTTGTAACATCAGGGATATCACGCGCGCGCTGCTGAGTCTTAAGAAGCCTTAATACGCCCTTTTCGAAGAACTCCATGCGAGTTAGACTATTATCGTCGCTAGCCTGGAACATATTGAGGTGGTCACTGCACCTAAAAGATTTTTAAACGTAGTGATTGGTCACTGCACCAATCACTACGTTTAAACATATGCGACTGCCACTCGAAATCCTTTCTTTCCTTACCAATTCTGGACAGATATCCTTTAATTTTAATTAAATGAATGTGCATTCTATAGTGGTTAAATAGTTATGTTGGTCTTATATGCGTATTAATGTTATTATGCATGATTGTATTCGACGTATTGTGTTATAATATCGTGGGCGTTTTCCACGAACTTCCCAAAATTCCCACACGCGAAAATGCTAGTCCTATTTATAAATGTGAAAGTTTGTAAAGCCGTTTATTACTTAATCATGTATGTATAAATAACTGAATGAACGAATGAAATTTGGTACACGTGTATTTTACAATAACATACAACACTTTTATTCACGTGAGCAAAGACATGGAATAGAATATACTAGAACTGTAACTAAATTTATTATTATCATATCAGTCGTTAACTGTCCACTGTTGGACACAGGCCTCCTTCATTAGAGAGTTTTGTAAGTAGTTGCTCCGCTTGACAGAAACTATCCTTTATTCGAAACATATACACCCTATTTCCTCTATATAGTGTTAATTTAAAATATGTCCTTATTTGTATCTTCCCTCAAGACTCAATGTACCACATGAAAGTTCATCATCTTTCATTAGTTGTGAAAACTGAAAAATAGTCATAAGTGTGTAAACAAATTGATAATATTTCTCGAAGAAAATAATAAAAAGTTGACAAGTCACGTGTATAGCCAACGTATGTCAGTCTACAACGAATTTCGGGCTATCTTTCCATTCCATACGGTCTCTGCCATACCAATGAAATACGGTTTTCCCTCCCTTCCCATCTAGCCACTATATTTCCTCGCAGCGAACAACGAAGCGGCCTACATTTATCTCAATCCATTGAGTTGGGAACATCTCTTGAAGTCTGATCGATCGAAAAATGAGAAGACGATTTATAATAAAAACGAACGAGCCTTTGGCAACGAACGCGTGTCATACGGCTGAACGATTTGGTGAACCAAGAAATATAACAAAAAAATAGACACTATTTTTTTAGAGAAAACGAAGAAAATAGTTAATACTGAAAAAGTATTTGTAATGTGTATTTAAACACCAGAGGGAGACTTTGTACAACAGTCGTTTGCATGAGCACCTCTGTCTTATCCGTTTTTCTAGCGTGTAACAGTGACTGTGATTCGGTTTGAAGGGTGGGATATGGCAGTGAAATTACAGGGTACAGAGGAATAACACCCGAGTCCTCAGGAATGGCAACGCATGGGGGTATCATGGGCAAAACAGTATACTCTGTTATGTCCATGATACTGCTCATGTCTATAGGCGATGGTTACCACTTTTCATCAGGTGAGCTGTCAGCTTATTTACCATTCTAAGTTGTATAAAAAAAAAACAATATTTTTAGGGTCTGCACAGCAAAACTTATTTATCGATTTTTGACTAACGTTTTACCCTTTATAAGTATATCCAGATGTATATTATTGAGATTATGTTAGATTTGTCCTTTTTGTGAATGTGACAATGAGCATATTGCAATTATTTTATTACTATTATCACAGATAATATAATACTATACTAGTAAAGCCGTTAACTGTCCACTGCTGAACATAGACCACCCTATAAGGGGGGAAAGGGATTATTAGCAATGGAGTCAAATAACCCCATTACCAGCAATATACCCTGTCAGGTCGACCTCCACGCGGTTCCCCCTGGAAACCACCGTGGCTAATTCTAGTTGAATTCATCAGGATGGGCTAACTGACTTGCTTTCATCCTCATCAGTCATCTGTCACTGGTGCCCCGCCAGTGTATACCGATAACGCAAACGGGGTTACCATACCATTATCACTCATTAAAAGAAAGACCACCCCATAAAGTAAGATTTTGCCAGCAATTGCCATGTTTGGCAGGTGAATTAGGAACCATAGTTAGGCTTTGGTGATGTTTTAGGAGGGATGTTGCCCATCCCTCGACAATTAAATTCCCATAGTCGCCTAAAGTTGCCGAAGGGGTGGCCCATTGTATTCCGGATCTCACAGAATTCCTACTAGTACAACAATTAATCCGTTACCCATAGGTTGTCTTGAAAAAATTGCTTCTAGCAATAAGACGGCCTCACTTTATTATTGTGTTGATACATTTATAACTTGTGTCGCTTTATTCTCCATGTTGTATAATGCAAATAAATTATTCATTAATTCATATATTCGTCATATACAAGTTAGCGTAACGATTGATTGGTAGAGAATGCCATCGGGCATAAAATCTGCCCTATAAACATATTGTAATGTATGCAAAAGTATAAATAAATGGATAAATTTTTTTCAGTACC